TACGCCTCCTCCTCTCACGGCACTTCCCAGCGCCGTTCCCCTTTCCGCGGTCGCCCCCGCCGTTCCACGCAGCAGGGCCGCCACTTCTCGCGCCGCTTCAGCACGCTGGAGTATGGTGAGCAGGACGCTGTTGCCCCACTGTCATCTGAGGGCGACCACAGCGACGACCTCGATCTCTGCGAGGCCGTCCACTATCACTTGGACTCTACCCTCCCTGCAGCTGAGCGCCTTCAGCTCGCGCTCTCTGCCCTCTCTCGGGCACGCAGCCGCCCCGGTCACGCTGGCGCATCGCCCCCCGAGGTCCCTCAGGAGGACCTCCCTCAGGGCTTCGTCCCTCCTCGTGGTGTCCTTTCCCCTGAGGAGCGCGCGACTATTCTGGGCCGGCGTGGGAGTTTGCGCTGCCGCTTGGACGGTCATACCTCCTCGCGGTGCCCTTACACTACCGCCCTCGACCGCCACTACGCTGACCTTTCTCGTCAGCGTCGTGCTCAGTBCCCCCCCGGCGCCTCACGTCCCCGMGGCGCCTCCTAGCCACRGTGCAGTGTACACCTGCGCCCTCCTCAGTAGTGGGYTTCCCGACATCTCCGTCGCGGTTCGCCCCTCTCGCTACTGGAGTTGAGGTATCGCAGGWCTCGACAGAGTGTACTCCGCCCTCTGTCGCARTACCGTCTRCGCCTCCGCAGACCACCGTCTCCCCTCCTTCCCCACCGCGACTACCGACGCGTGGAGCCATTCGCTCAGCCCGTTGCAGCGAGTAGCAAGCTGCTCGCTGCAACGGGCTGAGCGAATGGCTCGACGCGTGGCGAGAAGACGACGCAGTGCAGCGACATGGAGGGTGAGTCGCTCCTGACGAGCCTGAAGCATGCTCAAGTCCCTGATCGCACCCTCCCGATCATCCCCGTACGACTTGGGACCTCCACGAGGGTGTACTCAGCGCTGTGGGATTCCGGTTCTCAGGGCGACTTCATTCACCCACGCGTGGTGAAGGAAGCCCGCTTACCCACGACAGGGTCTCCGACTCCCATCTCCGTTACCCTAGGGAATGACAAGACCTATCGCTTCTTCGATCAGATGGTCACCGACCTCCCCTTCTTCCTCACTCTCGAGCCGACTGAGCGTTCCCCGGCGTCTCGTCGCCACCGCTCCTCTGCACATTTCGATGTGATGGAGACGGGGTACGACTTCATTCTCGACACTCCGTGGTCTCGTCGGTTCCGCAGCACCGAGGCCGATTGGGCGACCAACACTCTCGTTCTCAAAACGAAGTGTGGACAGACGTATCGCGTACCTTTCATAGRTACCACGACGACACCATGCCCCGATCCTCCTCCCCCGGAGCCTTCAGTGCCCACACCATCTCCCTCTATCACTGTCACCTCGCCTCGGCAGTTCGCTGACTTCATTCGTCAGGACGACATCACCTTCTTTATGGTGGACGTGATGGATCTCTTACACTATGATCCACCCTGTCCCGACGCCGAGCTCATCCCTCTATCTCCATGGCTTCCATCTCTACTTCCGTCCCTCCGCCGTCCGTCGACTCCACCCCGCCGTCGCGCGCTGACGCTGACGCTGAGGAACTCGCACGATATACGGCTGACTTGGAGCCCGCAGTTCGTGACCTCATCCGAGAGTACCACGACGTTTTTCCATCGTCGTTCTCGTACGCCGGCATCCCACCGATGCGTGACGTCGAGCACTTCATTCAGCTCGTGCCGGAATATCGTGTTCACCACCAGGCACCCTACAGACTCTCGATCCCCGAGGCCACGGAACTCAAGCGTCAGCTTGAGGAGCTCCTGAGACTGGGTTTCATTAAACCCAGCAACTCCCCGTGGGGTGCACCCGTCCTCTTTGCTCGCAAAGCGGATGGAACTCTTCGTCTCTGCATCGACTACCGCGGCCTTAACCGCTACACGGTTAAGAACAGCTACCCCATGCCTCGTTCCGATGAGCTGTTCGACCGCCTAGCAGGCAACTGCTTCTTTACGAAGATTGATCTTCGTAGCGGTTACCATCAGATCCGCGTCGCTGCAACCGACCAGCCGAAGACCGCGTTCCGCTCGCGATTCGGCCACTACGAGTTCACGGTGATGCCATTCGGCCTCACCAACGCACCCGCTACCTTCCAGAGGGCGATGAACGACATCTTCAGGGACCTGCTGGAGCAGTACGTTCTCGTCTACCTCGACGATATCCTGGTCTATAGTCGTACCCTTGAGGAGCACCTCAGACACCTCCGCGACGTCCTTGACCGCTTGCGCAGACATGGCTTCTACGCCAAGCTTAGCAAGTGCCGCTTTGCCCAGCACAAAGTGGATTTCTTAGGACACTACGTGTCTGACCAGGGTCTCCACATGGACGCCGCGAAGATCACTGCTATTGCGGAGTGGCCCGCTCCCACATCCGCCAAGTAGCTTCGCAGCTTCCTATGCCTGACCAGCTACTATAGTAACTTCATCCGGGGATACGCTAGGTATTCCTACGTCCTTACCTCCACCCTCCTCCAGAAGAACCCACCCTGGGCTTGGACACCCATCCACGAGGACGCCTTCCGCGCCCTCAAGAAGGCGGTGACATGCGCACCGGTTCTTCACCTACCCGATTTTGACCGCCCTTTTATCCTTACCACAGACGCGTCAGACTTCGCTGTAGGAGCAGTGCTTTCTCAGGTCTTCCCTTCATCTCCTGATTCCTCTCATCCTCGTATCCCTCGCTTCCCACCACCTACCCCTACCACTGCTTCCTGACTGACGCCTACTCGTCCAGCTACTGACGAGCGTTCTATTGACTATTCTCCTACCATCGCCGAGGACGGCACTGTCGAGTCTCGCTCAGGTGA